ATATATTAACTCTTTTTTTGTAATAACTTATGGTTATTACATTATTTGAAGAGTGTATGTGCACACCTTGGATTTAAGTAATATTATTTATGTATGTTATTTTCTGTTTTTTGTTACTGCACATAGTATTTGTTTGTTTAATAACTTTTACAACATTAGTTAACTTGTGATAGGGTCGTAATTTTAATGATGTTCACAATAAAACCATCTAACACCAAACAAAACAACACAATACCATCATCATAATGCATATCTTTAAACAATTTCAAATGACTACAACTACAAACACAATAATAATGATGATAATAATAATTTTTAATTACACCTTAACTACGTGCCTAATTAATTTTCTTTAAGTACCAAGTATTTTTGTTTAATTTTGTTTCTATTTTTAGTTTTATTTTTTAACAAACATAATCTAAGCCAGTTTTCAAACCTGGGAATCTTGGCTTTAACATAAACTCATGTCGAGTTAAGACGAGGTAACTTGTACTTACAACTGTTTGTTGGTTGGTTGTAGTAGTTAAATTTCATGGTCTAATTTACAGTAAACCATATTAAAATCATTTACCATACAACTCTTGTGTTTAGTTAGTTTCTCGTTTTTTCTTATTATTTTTGGATTTTTTCATTTTTTTCCTTTTTTTTTTTTTGATATTTTACATAAAACTTTTATTTGTTTTATTATTACGTTTGTTTTTTTAAGATTTAGTCTGTGAAATTGAATTTACATTCAAGTTTTTATAAATAACTGTTTTATTTATTTATGTGTGTTATTTAACAATTATAATTATAAATGTTAAATATATGTTTTGGCAAAAATCCAGGTCATAAACTTGACCTTAGCAGAAAAATAGACAAAAATCCATTACGTTTTATAAGTTCATTTGGTATTTGTTTTTTTTTTTATTATTATTATTTTCTACTGGAAGTGGGCGACTGATTTTAAATGTGTTTTAGTTTGTTGGAGAAAAAGAAGAAGATAGATTTGAAAAGCATTAAATTTTTATCTTGTTGGTCTAAAAGTTTTGCAAGAAAAATTGAAATAAATGGAATTGCACTCAATTGAGTATTGTAATTAAAAAAGTTTTAACACATAAATTAAAAAGAGCTATTTGGAAAAATATATGTCATGAACTTAATTAAATAAATTATAATAAATAGATTTAAAATAAAGCTTTTTATACCCTACACCACTATATTGGAGAGGGTATTAGACGTTGGTACTGATTTTTGCAACACCGAAAAATATTGGTCCTACACCCACTTTAGAGTATAACAATGGGCAAAAATATTATTTAATCAAACCCTTTTCTAATTTTACGAAAAAAAAAAAAATTGGAAATAATGAAGAAATAACTATCTGAACTCCATTGGACAATTTTCGCTAGGACCAATAGGTGAAAAGTTACACTGATTTGAATAATACCCTGTATGACCAAAATGTCTAAATTTGAGCCCCTCTAAGTCAATTTGTCACTAAACATGAAAAATTGGACTAAAAATCCAATTGTTTAGTTGCAAATTTGTGAATGTTTAATATTTTTATATTATTTAATATTTTGATACCCTACACCAGAGTAGGGGAGGGTATTATGCATTTGTGCTGATGTTCGTAACGCATACAAATATTGGTCCTACACCTACCGATCGACTCAGAATCACTTTCTGAGTCGATTAAGACATGCCCGTCCGTCCGGCTGGCTGGCTGTCCATGTAAACCTTGTGCGCAAGCTATAGGCCATAATTTTCAAGATATTTTCATAAAATTTGGACCAGACGACTTTTTTGGTTGAAATCGGTCCATTATCTCACCGAGCCCTCATACAACCTCACTTTTCGATTTGGGGTTTTAACTCATAACTACGTGAAATATACTACCATACTGGCACAACTACTTTTTATATAGGCATAAATGTCCAAGCCGATTTCTACAATGATCGGACGTCTTTTGACCCTAGACCCCATACTAACCACCCTTTAAAAAAATATCTTAAACGACAAAAAATTTACTTATAACCATTAGTATCGCGAAGAAATTCAGCCAATTAACTTTTATATAAAAATAAATACATCCCTCCTCCCAATTTGTTGAGGATTGACCCATATTTGACCCTAATTCCCATATAAAGCTTCTTTTAGAAATTTTGTTTAAGGTAAAATTCAACATAGTTGAATAATAAAAAATAAATAATTTTTAAAATATACTCATGTTGCAGGGTATCATATAGTCGGCCATGCCCGACTATACTTTCCTACTTGTTTTTTTTTTAATTATTAAATATTTAATTGAAAGTTAATAACCTCTAGAAACTTTTTAACACCAGCTCATTACGTAAACTAGTTGCTTCTATTGAAAGTAGTTTTAAATAAATTTGGCTACAGTTTAAGCGAGATGATCGCTTAAGAAACACATTCACTTTTTTGTTGCCTTTTAGCTTGTAATTAATGCAGCGCTCTAATGCAAATCGTAGACCAATAATTCTTGCAAACCAATTGTATCCACAAATCTTTGAACACAGCTTTATTGATAATTTCAAATTTTTGTTCATCTTTAGATATTCTTAAAGCAATTTGACACTTGTTAGCCATTTTTGTTTATATTTTTGGATTTATAATTAATGCCAAATTTTGCAACAACATTCAGACAGACAGACATTAATTTTAATGTTTTTGGCTTAAAAATATACATTTTTGGAAAATTCAGTTTGGTTAAGTAATCGCCACAATAAATAAGAAGATAAAATAACTTTGATGCAAACGGACGAACGAAATACAGATATAAATGTATATAAAAATATTTTGTATTTAAGCAGCATTTTTTTCTTTACATTAAAATACAAAATAAATAAATTTAAAAGACTCATCATCAACATCGATGAAATTATTGCATGTTTAACAAGTAAAACTGCATTTTTGATTTCACTATTAAGAAGAAGAAAAAAATATGTGCAAAAATATATAAACTGCAATCATAATACTCGCATGATTGTGAAAAAGAACATAAATGCAACAAGAGAATACTACTTGACTCGGAACTGCTGCTGGCTGCATGATATCTCTTTGACTGCTTAGGAATATTCATGTGCACGTGTAAACACAAAACAAACTGAAACAAAATGTGAAAATAACTACAAATTAAAAGTAATTTTTAGTAGTGCATCATGCAATAAATTCGTATAATAAAATTGTTGAATTTTTTATATCAAATTGCCATTATTATGGAACAATTTTCAGTTTTTTTTTTTTTTAATACAAACATTTGAGTCAAAAACAATTTCATTTTTATTTATCATCACAAAATCTTTTCGTATCATCTTTTACATCAACATCATCTTGTCGTCCTCAATATGATCGTCATTCCGGCTCTTCAGTTTTTCTCCTGTTGTTTTTTTTTTGTTAAAGTTTAGGCTGGCAAGTGTGATCATAAATATTTTGATGGTTTCTTTAATTGAAATTTAATATTGAATTTATGGGAAGATGAAGACGAAATAAACAGCAGCTTACTTAATATTTCTGGCACACATGTTGCAAGGAGTGTTGCAAAGGCGTATTTTTAACATGTTTATTTTCGTGTAATTTATGACTTGATTTCATGTCTTTAGTAGTTGTTGTTTTTTTATTGTTCAAGATGATAATGGCTGATTTTTTTGGTAATAATGTAAGATTTACATTATTGAAAAATGAAGAGATTTTCAAGATCGTTGTAAGATCAGTTGTAAAATAAATTCAATTTCAGTTTTGTTGTTATGCAGGTGAAATGGTTGATGTTTTATTTATTTACATAAATCATATGATTTATAGTAATTTATCCATGACTTTTAAAAGTGCTAAAGGAAATTATTCAAAATTCGTTAAAATAAATTTTTTGACATAAAACCAAAAAAATCATTAAATTTATTTTCAAAATTTTGAATCTTTAGTCTGACTTTTATAAAAATTTTTGACCGAAAATTTATCGTAATTTTACTCTATCACGTCTATTTTCTAGAGAAAAGTCCATTCTCTAGTTCAGACTATAGACCAGACAATAGTCTTGGCGATAGACCAGACTAAAGCTTTGGATATAGACCAGACAATAGTCTTGGCGATAGACCAGACTAAAGCTTTGGATATAGACCAGACTATAGTCTTGACTATAGACCAGACTATTCTCTTGACTATAGACTAGACTGTAGTCTTGACTATAGACCAGTCTATAGTCTTGACTATAGTCTTGACTATAGAACAGACTATAGTTTTGACTATAGACCAGACTATAGTCTTGACTATAGACCAGACTATAGTCTTGACTATAGACCAGACTATAATCTTGACTATAGACTAGACTATAGTCTTGACTATAGACTAGACTATAGTTTTGACTATAGACTAGACTATAGTCTTGACTATAGACTAGACTATAGATCAGGCTATAGTCATAACTATACTATAGTCATAACTATAGACCAGACTATAGTCTTGACTATAGACCAGACTATAGTCTTGACTATAGACCAGACTATAGTCTTGACTATAGACCAGACTATAGTCTTGACTATAGACCAGACTATAGTCTTGACTATAGACCAGACTATAGTCTTGACTATAGACCAGACTATAGTCTTGACTATAGACCAGACTATAGTCTTGACTATAGACCAGACGATAGACCAGACTATAGTCATGACTATAAACCAGACTAAAGTCTTGACTATAGACCAGACTATAGTCTTAACTGTAGAACAGACTATAGTCTTTCATTAGATTTAGATCATTCATTCTCTCTTATATTAGTGAAACTATTTAAAACTCGGATTGCAATACAATTTAAAAACTTCAACTTTTAGGCCCACTGTAGTTTACGAATCTATAAGCCTTCTTCACCTGTTGAACAGGATTTTTTCTGCCTTTACATATTTTCTTTAATTCACACCCTTATTATAGGAATTTCAACATTTGTATTTTTTATTTCTTATTTTGTGGCAAAAGAAACGAAATGCTGCAACACAACAACTTACCTGCAACATTAACTCACGCAATTTATCCAAATCATCGCCATGTGACCTTGTCGGTAAGTAACGACATTCACAAGGCTGTTGTTGGGCCATTAAAATAACAGTCATCAGAAGGAGCCACCAAAGACCTAAACTCAGACCGCCATGTGTTGTTGTAGTTTTTGTTTTTGACGCTGATGAAGATGAGTTTGGCGACGATGATGACGATGAAGAAGACAATGTAGAAGCAGCTAAATGTGATGGTGATGATGAAGTTAAAAGGTTCATGTTGTTGTCATTGCTACCACGTTTATTGAAATGCATTTTTATACGTTTCCGGTTTAACGATTTATTTGTTGTTGTTGTTGTTGGCTGCTGTATTTATTGTTTTCAGTTGCAGTTGCTGTGTATACTGCTGCTGTTGCTTTTATTTTCGTACCAACTCAGCAATAAAAATAAAATTTTGTTAAATTTCACTTTCGTTTGCTGTTGTATTCAAGTATTGATGTTTATTTCAGTAGAATGATTTTTTTCTTCCTTTCTTTGGGATTTCGTTTAAAGAGGAGTCTCAGCTGCTGTTGCTTGGATGGCTCCTTGCTTCTTCTTTGTCTGTTTTTGGATAGTCGTGACCACAAAAAGAAAAAAAGTGACTGCAAAAATAAAATTGTAAAAAAATAAGAAGTGAGCGAAAAAATCAGTTTATAATCATTATTAAGTGCACATTAAATATTTTTGCTTCTTTTTCTTTTTTTTGGGGTTTTTTGGTAAAAAATGCCTTAATATTTCGTAATAGTTAAAAATAGTTGTTATGCTGGTTATTTCTTTTCATTTTTTCTACTTCTTTTTTCAAAATTTATTTTTTTTTTTTTTTTGGTGATGGTGTGATTATGGTGCTTTTGGCAAAAATTTTTGGTGAAAAATTACAAAATAACTTTGTGACATAATTAAAAGTGGCATCAATTACCAGGGGTTTGCGTGTGTACATATAGAGTACTTACAGAAATTACTGAAAAAAAAATTAAATATTTTTAACCAAACCAACTTTCATACATTTAAGAAAAACTTTCTTACTATACAGAGTGACACCCATAACATTCATATAGATAAATATTTTAACCGGAACTATTCGCTTAGCACTTGTTGCTGTAGTTTCCAAAACATAAAATGAAAGTAATATTTTTGACCTAAACGTTTTTTTTCTTCTTCTTCTTCTTCACTTCTTCTTTATTTTGTTGCCATCAACAAAAAATATTTTTAATTTTTTTTTTTTTCATAAATTATAGGTTTTGTTGCTGTAGGAGACAGGAAAGGCTAAATTTTTGGTTTGTGATGAATTGGTATTGTATGGTATAGATAACAACGGTATGATGATGAAGCTTAAACTTTATGGAAGAAATATTTTTGATGATTTCAGACATTCTCTTTATTTATTTAAAAATCATTCAGGAATTCAATTTCATTTGGAATAGAATACCAACTGCAAAATAATATCATTTATTTTTCAATAGTTTACATATGTCAAACTTCTTATTCATATAACATTTGCTCCTTAATCATCTTTATCTCTTTTTTGTTTAATTTTAAATATTTTCTTTGAAAAATATACATGCTTCCTACTTATAGCGTCATCAAGGATACATTGTAAATCACAAACATTTCATTTCTTATTTGTTTTTTTGACTTAAAATACTTCAAGTTGTTTAAGCCTTAAAAGAACTAAGTAGTAAGTGAGTAAGTCTTAATACATACAATGATTACAAACAAGAACACATTTGCCACAAAATGTGGTGTAATACAGTAATGTAATCCATAATAAGTAGATTTTCATCATTCCTGCACTTGTAGTACGAGGAAGACTTGATGGAGACAACATGAATACGCACTTTCTTTCAATGTGCGTATGTGCTGCTGTAAGTAAACTTTTCAACAAGATTTAAAATAAACAACCCGGCAGTCTTTTAGGGAGACAAATCTCTTTTGAAAAAGATTTTTCTAAAAGTCATATTTGGTTTAACATTTGTTTTTAATAGGTACCTTTGTAATGCAAAAGTCAATAAACACTTTAGCTACCTCAAGTAATGTAGAGTGAAAGTAGACGACACTTCAACATACCGAAATATCCTATGAAGTAGTTATTTGACTGATCCAAAGTAATCTACTGCCGTATAACTAAGTAGCCACATAGCGAATTTCGTAACTTGAGACAGTTGCCCAGAACTGTAGGTCAACGAAAGAGTTTTATACAGTTATCTCAGAGGGAGTAATAATTCATTTATGTCAATATGTGCATGTTGGTTTAGAAATGATAATGGAAACTCGTTTAATGTAAATATATTTTATATGTATGTTTTAGGAAGTTGAAAACTTTAAAATGAATCATGAACTCAAATATCCTTTCAATATTTCATGATAGATGAAAATAAATAAATAAATAAATTTAACGGTATTACAATAACAAGTATGAAAGTACAGTTAAAATTGGCCGACCATAAATCTCGAGATTCGCAGAGATCCAATAACTGAAGGTCTAGTTTTAGCTACCCGTTCGTCTATTTTTTTCTTACACTAATCGTTACCTAACTTTACACTAAAAATTTGAGGTCGAATTAACGCATACGAGTCTATAGTCTTGACAATAGGCCAGTATATAGTCATGAGTCATGACAATAGAGCAGTCTATAGACTTGACAATAGGCCAGTATATAGTCATGACTATAGTCCAGTCTTAACTATAGGCCAGTCTTACCTGTAGACCAGACAATAGTCTAAACGAACTTGTTGAGCTTATGGGTATTGAGTTGTATCTATTATTTTTATACATTCAAAGTTGTCTCGATATTGAGATCCAATCACTGAAGTCAAAGTTTTTGAAATTCGTTTGTCTTTCTACTTCTTTCACTATTCGTTACCTAATTTTAAAAATCTGATTGAAAAAACTTAAATAAATTTAACGGTATTAAATAGGCAAGCAAATATGGACCGATCCTTATTAGGTAGATGGATTTATTTTTCTATAAAATTCATTTATGCTAAATTTTATCACGATATTACAGTTTATAATTGAATTTTGGACATTCTATCTAAAGAGAGCATTGCACAGGGCAAGGGTCAAATGAGGACCGATCGTTAAGAAATTCAGCAGGGCCTTTAAGGCTTACACTTAGACTTAGTTGTGCCGTTGGAGGTACTATTATATGTAACGTATTCATAAAGTCAAATGCTATATTCGGGAGTTCGGTTTAATTGGATCTAAAATTTTAACCAAGCTTTACATTAACATACCGAATGACAGACAGTAGACCCAGAAATGGTTCAATATATTTGTGCATTACAAATGTGTAGAATATAAAATGGTCCAACTCGTTTCTGTACTATATAAAAAGTACGTTATTGGTTCGAGTGTAGTACCATTTCATAATCTTAAATTTTACACAACTGATCTCAATTTCAACTCACAGTTTTAAAATGTGACCAGGTTCCACACTAGCTATAAAGATCTTTTTGTAATTTTTGGAAGGAATCTGAAAATTTTCAAATTAAAAGCCTGTGATATTTTTTCTATAAATACCAAATGTCGTACACTGAACAAAATTTTCCTAAATTCGGACCTATTTTTAAATCAATATCCTCGGACTGACAAAAAAACCATCTAGTAATTGAACCCAATTCATAAATCGCACAATGACACAATTTTCTTTGGGGTATTATACAAAATTGCTTTAGGATTTTTTAAATTTTTTCCATAATTTTGAAAATTATTTATGTATTACTCTGTTTTTAATTGATACTTAAAGATTTTTAAATTGTTTATTATTTTCAACTTGGATTTAATTAAAAATTAAATTACACTATAAATTTATATTTACACAAAAATTGCACTTATTAAATGATATTTAATTGTCTCAAAATAATATTTTGTAAGCAAGCAATATAAAATTATTTAATAGTTTTCAAAAGCACTATTTCAATATAATTATTTAATTATCAACAAAATGTTACATTTATCGAAATTCGCATAATTTCCTTTAATTTTACTACTTTTTTAATTATTTATTAGTAAACTTTTTAACTAAACACTTACATCACTCTTACTTGGTTTTGTTGTTGTGCTTTTCGTTACAGTAAATTTAATTATTTAGTTTATAGTTATTTTTGTTTAAATTTTTGCCGAAAATATTCGAAAACTTTTATATTTTATTATTCAATAAAAAATTTTAACTTTTAATTTCACGTTTTTAAGATGCGACCGTTTAACTTTGTTTGGTACTTATCTAGGATAACACAGTTGAGTTTTTAACGCAATATCCTTTGGTAACAATTGTATTTATAGCCGAAAAATCCTCTGTTTGCGACAAAACGAATAGCAAGAACAACAACAACAACAGCACAAACAAAAATCTAAGCAGCAATAAGAACAATATCCTCCACACAACGATACATATAGACACACATTCACTATTAGAGATACACATATACAGTAACAAATTATTACACATTCCAACACATACACTTACACACTTTACACACTCTTCTGAAGAATTTGTATAAAACACTTTCGCTTTGGCTTGAAATACTATCTCTTGAATTTGCACAAAACACATTTCGACAAAAAGCAAAAGCAAAAACACAATGTAGGCAACCAACTAACTTTATATTTCTCGCCTTATAATACTGGCCACCCTTCTTCGTCTCCATTTTACCCCAGTCCACTTGTTTTAACAGTTGACTGCTAATACAAAAATATTGAATGGAATGATGCTGCAAAAGAAAACAAACCATTATCTAAACTTTAACACACAGAAATTCTTCACACACACAATCTCATACTCATTCATAATGTTCTTTACTCTTCCATAATTCTGGTCTAGCCACCTTCTATGGTGTCGTCCCTACGGACTAAAAACAGTGGAATAGAAATAACAGATTGTGGATTAAATTTGTAATTTCATATGGATTGGACAAATTGAAACTACTAAACAAGATTAATGGACCTTCCAAAAACTAGTTAAGCAGTTATGGACCGATCAAAACAAAATTTGATAGAAAGAGATTGCTTCTTTTATTGTTTCAAATATGACCGAACTTCCGTTTCTGGATACTGAATTTTATATATGCTCATTTTTATAACAATTTCAGAAATGTATACATAGAAAATTTTATCCCTCTCATTCGGGCCCTAACGTGCTCTCAAAAGACGAATATTCGAGAATGACTTCAAGCGTCTTAAATAAGTGAAATCGTAAAAGAGTCCAACATATTTATACGATTGTCGATATACACTAATATTGTGATGTCTATAAAGGGATCAACCAAATCATTGTATCTCCAACATTTCGACATAAATGTCTAGATCTTGGGGAATTTTAACCAATATTTTTTATTAAAAATGCGAGAAATCTCTCCACCAAAATGTACGTAGGTAGATCACATCGTGATTGGACCTTAAAGAGGGAGCCTACCTTAATTCCGAAATATTTTACCAATTTGTTGACAAAAATATAGATTTTCTAAAAAAGGTGCTATATGGGGGCAGGGGTAAATATGGGGCTATTCTCATAAATTTTGCTGGAGGGATTTATGTTCACATCAAAGTTATTTATGCAGAATTTTATCGTGAGGCTGCTGTTTATTAGTGAACTTTTACTATCAAGTCATTTCACGAAAGGGACTTTGAGTGAGGCTGAATTCAAATGAGGACCGAATATTGGTCCAAATATTGGACCAATTTCAACTATTTTCAATAGGGCTCGTTCTTGGGTAAAAAGAATTATCCAATTATCATGAAAACTGCAACCTGTAGCGAGTGCACAAGGTTTACATGGACAGACAGACAGACGGACGGACGGATATAACGATTGGTTGTTACAAACATCAGCACAAACACATAATATCCTCCCCACTATAATCGTGTAGGGTATAACAATTAAGGCCATGGACATCCATTAAAGTCAATTTGATCTCTTCAAAGGCACTTCATAGAAATTGTTAGAATAATATTACAGATTCAAACCGCTACAACCTGGACGAGAACATATAACTTATCGGTAGATTAAGTATTAAAAAACTTCAAAATTTTCTTAATTTTCACCCACTGTCCAGTACACTCATACATTCTCGCAAAAAAAAACATCAACATTCACAATCCTCCACACTCACACTATCACCGAAAACAATGAATGAAACATTGAAATATTGTGGAAAATCTCTGCTAATAGTGCGACAAGCATACGGGAGTAGATTATGAAACTAAATTTTGATGACGACAACAGGCGGCAGCAGCAACAAGGCGTTAGTTATAGTTTAAGTCAACTGACTTGTTGTTGTTTTTACTTTAGTTGTTGTTTCTATAGTTTTTATAGAATGAATGTTGAGAAATAACAATAAATAATTGTCTTAAGGCCAATAGGATTATGCGCTTGCGCATATTCATATGATTATATTTTTCTAATTGTAACAATAACTATTTAATACTATGTTTGCAATCGTGTCTATGATGTCTTTATAAACGTATGTGTGTTATATGAAGATGATACACACACAAATACATGAAATACAGACATTATTTCGTGCAGAACTATTTCATAGATAGTTCTACAACAATAATACTTGTAATATTTTACACATACATACATACTTACATATGTATGTAGTATGTGTGCTTATATGACATCTTTACTACATGTGTTTGCATTTAGTTGAATTACTAAAGATTTTTATTGTTGTATCTCTGGTACATTTGTAGTCATTAAATGCGTTTCTGTTGTGTTTCCTAGTAGGTGTTAGTGCGTGTGTGTGTGTGTATATATGTTAGTCTTGTCTATATTAAATTTAACACACTTGTACATTGCAATTTGCAGCAATGTAGTTTATTTTAATTTACAATTTCTATATTGTTTCAGAACATTTCAGAGACTTGAAGTAATTAAATCTACATATAATTTAAAACTATGTCAACAATAAAATAATAATTTCCTTTCTTCGAATAAAAGTGGAAAAATTGTTTTGAGAACAGACAGTTTGGTAATCAGTGAATAGTCCTAGAACAACATATTACAAAATTTACCAAAAATGCACCTCTTCGATAGTAATACATATGTGGACTATCAACTTATTTATATCTAACAATCAATTAAGAATTAAACTAACACTTTTCATATTTATTGCTCTACTAATCGTCAGTTCCAAAGCACCAATATCTTAACATAAAGGAATTTTAATAAATTTGTATCTTGATTTCAATAAAGTTATACATTTCCAGCACTGTTTATCAAGTAGTTCTATACATTAATTCTAATAGTTATTTCTTTCACTAGCTAAGATCTGTGTTTCTCAAGTCAATATTAAATTGTTCTCTTGTTTTTATTTCCCACTTGTGTCCAACTTTTAATGCTTGTATGAACATGCATCCAGTCATGTAAGTTTGTGTCCTCAAACATATATAATTCGATATTGATACACCAACACGTTCATGCAAAGGATATCATACAAATAAACAACTAAAATGGCGACAAAAATAACATAAAACTTAAGGATGATCCGCAAAATAAAGGAAAAAGTTTTGAATGTTGGTTTTTAAAGTTTTTTCCAAAATAATGATTCAAATGGGGATCGGGCCAGATTTCATTGAAAAAACTGATTTATCATCAAAAAGATATTACACTGAATATATGATTATTCAGATATTTAATTAGTTTAATGTTCTAAATTATTGTTATGGTGATACACCCACTATTGCCATTCCACTTATAACAGCTCCAACAGTTTTATAGATATACGATTTTATGTATTTAATTCATATGCCAGGTGCCTCGCTCCTATTGCTAGTCCAGCCTGGCTTATCGCAAATTATTCATATGAATTTTAATGTGGCCCATGAAAAGTATCAGAATTCTAGCTCTAATCGTTCCCCACATATTCTTATTATTGTATTTAATACATATGGGAGGGGCCACGCCTCCCTAGTCACCAACTTTTTTTACGAAAAAACTCATTATTATACCCTACACCACTATAGGAAGAAATGTATAATGCGTTTGTGCTAATGTTGGTAACACCCAAAAATATTGGTCCGTCAGTCTCTGGGTCCATGTAAACCTTTTATGCTCGGTATAGGTCGCAATTTTCAAGATAATTTGATGAAATTTGGCAAAGCCTATTGAAAATGGTTGAAATCGGTCCATTATTTCACTTAGCCCCCATACAACAGTATCCCCCGAATAGGGCTTTTAACTCATAATAATGTTAAATGTTATAGAATCTCTAAAAAAATCTGGCCTCATTTGGCTCTAGCCCCCATACAAAGTCCTATTCAGAAAATGATTTGAAGGTCAATATTTCACTTATAATCACTAGTATTACCATGAAATTCTGCATGAATATCTTCAATTTAAACTTTTATCCCTCTACCAAGATTAATAACTATAGGTCCATATTTACCCTTGCCTCCGTATAACCCCTCAACAAATTGTTAAAATATTTCGGAATTGCAACAGAAAACAAATGAAATGGTTTCTTATTAAATGTAATCAACATTTTTAATCATGCCCGACTATACACAGAAAAAATTAATTTAAAAAAATTTTCAATTAAACGATTAATCAAAAATTTTAAAAGGGTTCAATTCATTTTGTATTTGATTCATAAAAATGTATGTATAATCAAATACGTATTTAACAACAACAAAAATAGAAAAAAATTTTGTGTACGAAATCAATTATAAGTAGTAATTGAATATACAATTTTTGTTATAGGTTGAACTTCAAAAAATAAAATAATTGAAAACGAGGTTTTGGTAATTGAAATCGTTTTTCAGTTTTTTCTGTATAGATTCTTACTTATTTTTTTTTAATAAAAAATCAAATTTTTTACAAAAATTATTTTTTTTACCAAATATCAATTTTTCTACTAAAAATCAAATTTTTTACTAAAAATCCGATTTTTTAGTTAATTCCCAATTGTTTACTAAAAATCTGATTTTTCATTAAAATTTTGATTTTCACCAAAAATAAAATTTTTACTAAAAATCGGATTGTTACAAAATGTCCGATTTAAATCGTGCTAAAATCTCAGCCAACGATGGAAATATTTTCTAGCCGTTTTTCTTATCTATAAACATATTCAGGTGTTAAGAAAATAATCTTGATCATCGGAAACATGGTTTACAACGCTATCGGACCATTTAGAAGAATGTTTTTAAACGTTAGAAATTTTATATTTGGGGGCCACCCTATTATACATATGCATGTACATATGTTTGCATGATTCCAACTATGATATGGTCTCTGTTGGTTTGATTCTTTGTTTATTTATTTAACCGGTCAGTGGGTGTGAAAATG